CGTCTACCTTGAAATCCCGCCGACCGCCTAACTAAATGCGATCAAGACTCAGCGTAACAACTTCATTCGAAAATGAAGCTGTACCGTGGAAACTCCTATTTTTAGCCAAACACACATCGGTACGACTTTATCGTTTAAGAATGGCATCAGGAGAAAAATTCAACTTCGCCCAGCTCGAGCGGTTACGAGTTCCAGAGGGGCCAAGGAACGCAGACGCATTTTATGGTCATCGAGAAACACCTCAACGCGGTTTTCTTTTTTCCAATTAACGTCTGTGGTAGGATACGTGTGCCTTTGTATTGGGCCTATGATGAGTGCGGGGCAACCCCCCCCCCCCCACCCAACCCCCTACCCTGTGCGATTAGTGTCCTAGCCGTCACAATGTCAACTTTAAGTTAATACCAATTAAGGTTTACCGTTACTATAAATTATATTATGATACCAATAAAAGTCTTTTTTCACTAATACAATATCTTATTTTGGATTGAAATTAAACTGCTTATCAAAATTTATTTTTACAAAATTAAAGATGTATAGAGACTCGATCCCTACACAAGTATTGTATCAATCTGTCAATATTACGGTTGTATAAACTCAAATCTGTAATACCAAATCTTTAGCATCGGATTCAAACCTATAATATGACACGTATTCCACGCGGTATTCTGTTTTCCAATCAATGTATGCGGCAAGTTACATACTCTATTGTTTATCCGATTACAAATGCGGGGCAACCCCACCCTGTTCGATTTGTGGCCTAATCGTCACGAGCGTTTAATCTGTGCACATGTGTTTACTTCCTGGTAATCTAGTGTAAGGCGTTTCATTCGTACACGTATATCAATTTTATATGTAGATGCTTGCGTAGGATAAGCTTTGAGTAGTCGTACAAATAATTTTTCTTTTTTCTTGAAATTGTGATAGTTATAGCGCGAATTAAACAAAGTAGGGTTGCCCCACACTCATTATTGGCTGAGTGAATTTATATGTTTGAATTTCTCAAACATAGTAAACTACAAGATCCCGTTAACGGGAATCACACCACTAGCCTCTCTACAGCTTTGAGAAATAAATTGGTGGGCACCGTGGTTTAATTTATTCACTTTTTTAAAAAATTTACAAGTAACAAAAAAATTGTCCAATGAGATAGACAACATCATGTCGCTTATTTGTATAATAGTGCTTTCAATATTTCTCACGTTCGCAGAGCAGAAACCACTGTTGCTCAACTATTAGCAAGGTGGCGGGGTACTCGTCACAGTTCGGAAATTATTTGTGTTCACTCTATTCCGCAAGGTGTCTTAACCTTGGCGAATGGCAAGGATGTATTTAGAATAAAATGTCATGCTTCCCTCACATACCTCAAATTAAAATATTCGAGTACCTCGGACATGGGCAATTGTGATGGTGATGATACTACAAAATAAATATTTGTTACTAATGAATTATTAAACGTTCCACTGTTTTCAAGGATTACGGAATAATGCATACTAAAATTAGTTTTTCAAATACAAACTTGATAATCAAAATACATGAGGATTTCTTGATTTCATGAATACCAAATATAATTTCACAGAATGTTGGTGTGAACAATCCTTGAAACAATCCTAATTGTGAAGCTATGTACTAAAGAAATTACAACGATGATGCTTTCAAAAGAACTATGCAAAAGGTGTAGGCGCCGACTCACAATTTGATTATTCGCTCAATTGGACCAAATCTCCATGCCTTTCAATTCTTCCATTGTAGGGTAGGGATAAGGAGAAAGCTCTGAATGGACTACCATGGTGTTGGAGAACCACCTTCTGATGTTGAAGGAAATTACAGGGGACAAACAACCCAAAAGTATTCCCTTAACGCACTTGCCTTTCTGGATTAGAGTCTACAATTTGCTTTTTAATTGTGCATCGAAAGATATAAAATCCCTAACAACGGGATTAGGGGAATATCTTGAAATCGAAGACGATTTTTTGGGTTAAATCGTTTCCGAAAAGTTTGAATCATGATTGATGTTCGTAAACCTCTTAGACGACATCAATGGATTAAAGATAAACAGGGGAAGGAAGTGAAGGTGAAATTTAATTATGAAATATTGCCATATTTTTGTTTTGCTTGTGGTATAATTCACGAAATAACAAAATGTAACATGAATTGCAGATTTAGATATTGAAAAGAAAAAAAATTAAACGTGAAACAAGAGTATCCATCATTTAAATAAGGTGAAGCACATGAATAATTGTCGAGGTGATGATACTACAAAAGTCGGTGTGGTTACTAATAAATTATAAAACTTTACAAAGGAAGAGCTGCGCCAATTTAGGAGGGAAATCTCCCGCCTCCAACGCTTGAGGCCGCCCATTTTCCCTCCTCTTTTTCCCCTCTTTTACCTGTTTTCCCTCTCTTATTTCCCTCTCTTTTTTTTTTTCTTCACTTTTGACATGGCACACACCCATTGGTTTTGTATGTGGGCCTTCACATACAAGCTTTGTATGTGTAGCACCACTCTAGAGTATGTCAAATGTGTCCATGTGAAAAAAAAAACAAATGAAAGATAAAAAGGGTGGGGTAATAATGACGGTTAACGTAATATCACATGTGAACAAAGTTAGGTAAGGAATTTTATGTGTGAACACAACCAAAAAGTGAAAAAGGCATATCATATAGGGAAATGGTGCGATTAATATGCAACTTCCTAAAAAGGAAAATGCTACAATTAAGAAGAAAAAAATGAAGGAGTAATATAAAAAACCGTAGCCGCCCCCTCCCCCTGTAAGCACCCACCAGTCCACCACAAACCAAATCCCTCCTCCCCCGGTGAACACCACAAGCTCAACCCCCCTCCACTGCCAAATTAAAGACAATAAACACAAGGGAATAAGGTTTCGTGGCTGGAGAAGGGGAGGTGGTAGTGGGGATGGGTTGGTGGTTTGGTTAGATTTTTGATTTTTTTTTTTTTTTTTTTTTTTTTTTTTTTTTTGTAAGAATAAATCTTACCACAGGTAAGTATTTTTTTTTTTTTTTTTGAGAAATATTAATGAAAATAAGGTTATAAGTGGGATAAAATTCTTAAATATGGTCATTTTTATACGTAGTATTTTATTTTTAAGAGGGTCACCAGGGATGATTTCCCTTCTGGTAAAAAAACAAGACCTCACCCTTTGTGTTGATTGTGCGAAGAATGCAAACAATTTATTTACCTACAATATTTTTGACAAAACAAAATCTTTTTTCTATCTCTCCATTAATTTATGTTGTATTTGTAATTTTGTTATTAGCCCACTAGTTTACAATCCTCTTAAATAAACAACACTAATCTTCATCTTTTCAAATATGCAAACAAGAATAGTTCTAAATATTTGTGACCAGATTTCATTGTTCATTGGTGTGTACATAGAAAATAAGCTATTCCAATAAACATAATAAGCCATTTTTTGCATTTGTCAAAAAAAAAAAAAAAAGAAGCCATTTTTCTGCTTCCCATGGCCTTAAATCTCAAGGAGAAGAAATATTGGCCTGTTACAGAATTCACACTCCAGCAAATGCATCAACTTTCATATTGCGGTCTATAGGATAAAAATAAGCAAGACAATGATAGCTGCAATCACGACGAAGGCCAGTAACCACCAATACTGTTGAGTGCCACAAGAAAACAATAATGATAAGAATGTAAGTTACAATTAATATGCATATATATACTCTGACTTCAACATGCAATAAACGACTTATAGAATTAGACCATTGGCAAATACTTAGTAATTCCTTAGTGTAAGATGATAAGAAAAAGCCTAATACATTTTTAAGTAGATCTTTATTTAACTTCAAACAATCAGAAAAGTAGAAAACATTGTTTCTTACCAAAGGTGAACATGATCTTCCACTTTTAGATGCCTTACAAAGCTGTGGTATTGATTCGCTTGATCCAGCAGAGGAAACCTCAGCTTTAGAATGCGTACCATCTGCATTTGTATAAAGAGATCAAGCACAAAGAATGAAGCAAATACAATAGCATAAACTTAGAAATAGATTTGTGTTTTATAAGGTGGTTTGTGACAAATTTAGCTTACAACTAATTTTTCCCAGCTTTTTGGCCTCACATCTTTTCACTCACTTTTTTTCTCTCTACTTTGTACTAATATCAAAGTCCTATTCAACCCCATCTTGTGTAGCAATGGGACAAAAAGAGTAATGTCTAGTAAACTAAAGATACAAGTAAACTACATATATAATCTTACCGATTAATATATCCTGCTCTTGTAGAAGAGCAGCAAGCTCTTTATTGAATTCAAGAATTTCATCAAGTCGGCTTTGCATCTCTTTGATTTTTTCCTGCTCCCTCTCCTCAAGAGTTTCTTCAATAAATTCAGTCTTACCATCCAACCATATTGATCTGCATTACTCAAATATAGTCATATAGTACTGGCATACATTACACATATACAGGATCCATTAACATAATAATAATGAGAGTAATCATCCGTTTTTTGAGTAAAACAACAGTACATACACATTCGATGTCATAAGTTGTCAGAAATTACAGGCTGCTATGGTGTTCTACATCATCCTACATTGAGTCCTGAATGTAATATCGAGAAGCCCCACTAGGACTCTAACCTGATTTATTCCAAGTTTATTACCAAACATAGAGACGGAGCACTAACTAAGCTTTAGCAATGTCGGGCTTCAGCACATATATCAAGGAAATAAAGGAAGCCAACAAACAAATGATATATGACATTCTTTTGTATAATTGAGCTCTCATACCTCAGATGCAATGGATCCTGATCATCACTAAACTAACCAGAATATTGTGTAATAACAGTAATGACATACAGAAATAAGAGGTAAGAACAAATCATATATTCAAAGGCTTACCTCTTTTTCTCTAAAAAAGATTGGCTCTCGACATCCTGAGCTGCTTCTTCACGAGTTAAGCTGATACAGAGTCAGGAAAAGTTTAATTGTACTATTTACCTAACAGCGAATATGAAATGGAGGGAATAGAAAACAAATTGCTCGCAGCGTGCTCTATTACAGAAGATGCAGGAGTCCCTGATGGAATGTAAGAAGATTCGCGCTCCAAAGCACGCTTCTGAGCTTTCTGAAATTCTTTTAAACTAGCTTGAAAATCTCTTGCAAGCTTAGCATCTTCAATTTTTTTGCCTCTCTGAAAAAAGATAGCACAACATTGATTTTGAAACTATCTCTTCACTTGTTACACAATACCATAGCACATAGTATTACAAAATACCAATATACAGAGAAAAGCAAGGGATACAGGGACATTAGCAGCATGATCGGAATCACTCAATGTTTTGAGCTTGGCAGAAACATCTTTTACCAATGTCATTACATGCTGCCTTGTACGATGTCTGTAATAACCACAATAATGTAACAATAAGTATATAATTAAATAAACTGATAGAGTATATAAACCGATCCTAGACTTCAACCATAACGATTAAGCTTATGGTTAAAGCCCAAAATCAGTTTATATTCTTTATCATAAACCATTACAGAAAAGGGTGTTATGATTACAACAGCAATTATGAACGACTTATTAAACAAAAAGAGGTAAACATACAGCTTTTGGCGGAGATCAGGAGTATCTTCGGAGGTTCCAATGGCATTGACTAGGCGGTAGAAGGTGGTGATGACGGTGTTGGTCTGAAAAATACTGGCAGCGACGCCATGTGATAGATTTTCTGATGATGATCCTTGGTCATTTTGATCATCTTGGGAACTCATTTTAGTTTTGTTATTCTAGGACTATGACTTCTAGTTAGAAAATGTTACCGATTATTCGATTATAAGGTTAGTGTTAGAGATATCGGAAAATATATGTGTGTGATGTATGTCCTCGGGCAAAACCTTAAAGTCAACTGGCAGAAGTTAACTTATATATTTTCTGATATCTCTAACAGTTAGAAAGTCAACTGGCAGTTAATATATTTTCCTATATTCCAGTATTAGAGATATAACACGTATATTTTCCGATATCTCTAACAGTTAGAAAGTCAATTGGCAGAAGTTGTGACTTGAGAGTATTTTTTAGATAAAAGGAACCCAAACCAAAGAAACTATGCCTTTTAATCGTATTTGAATGACTTCGATAAACGCCGTCAACTAATTTTAATTTTAAATGTCCATGATTGATATTAAAAACTTAAACTAAGAACATCAATAATTGGATCATTAATTTTATTCCTCTATTTGCATCACTCAAGGCTCTATCCTATTTTCTTTTTTTATCTGCAAAAACCGTTAACTTATATAGTTTTACGTGACTTGTACATGGTAGAGTTGTCAATTGGGGTAAAAGGGTTGATTATAATTCAAGTATAATTCAAATTAGATTCAAATTTTGAATTTTGTTTATACAATATTGAGTTGTATTTAGGCCGTTCACGGCAAGTAATATAAATTTGGTCTTGGGTTAAACATGCATTGCTCTCATCGGCCAAATAAACTTCACGCTAATCCGTAATATTCTTAGTGCTTGTTTGATTAATCTTCAAAAGTGAAGGAAATAGAAATCCATGGGAATTAAATTTGCAAATAGGGTGGTTGTTTGGTTGAAAATAAAATGCATGTGAAAATGGAGGAAATAGAAAATCGTGTGAATCTAAACTTTCCATGAAATATAGGAAATAAATTACCATATCCCCACTTGGTCAATCAAAATTCATTGGAATTTCAAGTTCCCTTATTCTAAACAAAATCGGATACAAATTTCCTCAGAATTGCAAGTGGGAAGTAATTTTGCATGTAATATGATTTCATATAGGAATTTACTTCTAAGGTTATAGAAGAAGTTATTCAACACATTTCAAAGAAGTTGTACCAAAGCTAAGCTATCGAGTTAAAAACGAGTTAGTGGAGATTTAAATATCAATCGGATAATTGTGAGTTGCATAAAATTTAATTTAGGCGATTCATGGTAGCAAATTTCATCAAGAAGCAATGATAATTTAGTAATTTACTAGTGTGTTAAGATATGTTAAGATATGTAGGCAATATAAAAACAATGATAATTTAGTAATTTACTAGTGTGTCGAGATTTTCATGAACAAGTTTGTTAAATGGAATCCTTAGTTGCTCCACTATTAGAACAATAACAATTTAAAATAAACTAATCCTTTCTTGCGTGATCTTTCCAATTTGATCCTAAAAAATGTACCTGAACATGCTTCCTGAAATATTTAGATTTTTATCTTTAAGTTGGGTTTCATGAACAACAAAAATTTTAAATGACAAACTGATATGGGAAGCTCTAATTGAGAGTTAGTTTGTTAACAGTTAGAAGTCTGTTTTAGTGGGAAGGGTCGTTAGAAAATCTGTTAGTGGATAAATTTCTTTAACAGCTGTAATTGTAATGGGTAGTTATAATAATTTCACCAATGTTTGGGTGAAGCTTGTCTCACCTTCAAGTTGTAACACGCTATGAAAAAAAAAATGTTAGGTCAAGGCAATAATTTGTCAAGGGTGAGTATATGTTTTAAAATCATAACAAAAAAGGGAGAAAAAAAAAAAAAAAATTAGATGAAGACAATAAAATCATAACAGAATTTTGCCAGGATATACTCTGGACTCTCTGGAAACAAATTTCTCCAACAATGAGAAACAGGAAGCCATACACTCAGAAAAACATTAACATAAACAGCAGAAATTACAATGAATATACAAACGGAAAACCTTGGGAAACAATAAATAACATACATGTATAGGAAAATATAGACAAACCTTCAGAAAACAACACAGCAAAAATCATGCATACATAAAATTTTACAAAAAATGCTCCTACAGCCACAAAAATAAGAAGAAAAGAATATCGGCCGGTTCAAAATGTAGAATTCACTCTCCCGCAATCCCATCAAATTCATATCTTTAGTTGCAGTCTATAGGATTAAGATCAGCACAAAGATAATAATCGCCAATACAAACAAAGCCAGCAACCACCAACACTGTCGAGTGCCACAAGAAAAAATAAAACAAAAACAATTACAAATAAGAATAATGTATAATCATAGGAAAGAAGGCATAAATAGGCCACTGCAATTACAACAGCTACATAAAACCAAAGGAGTAACATATCATCATATATATAACTAATATATAAAGCTAAACTTTTAGCCAGACCACGAGGCAGCGACACTTGACATTCTAATTTTTACAAATTCTTACATGGACATGGTTCACATTAATTTATTGTGGACCATTAACATTAGAGACAATATGATTATTTTATTAATTAAAAAAGGGTCACTATATTAAAATAAAGGTTATTATGTTGAAATAAAAGTTAGTGTGACATTATAAAAGCTATAAAAGGTTAATAATTTTTTTAATGAAATTTTTAATATAATGGTCAATATGAATAATAAAGATCACTATGTTAAAATTAGGTCACTATTTAACATAATGTCGTATTTTAAGTTCATAATACATTAAACTATTAAAGGTCACTCAACTTTTTTAAAAAGGTTACTATGTTAAAAATAAGGGTCACTATATTGAATATAATGTCATTTACGTGTGAATTAACCTTAGGTCCACAATAATTTTATGCAAGATTTTCTATCTAATTTTTTGTCAAGTGTCGCGTCACGTTTTTCATAAGATAAAAAAGTTAGTTTAGAATTCTATTAGGATAAATTTGTTAGGTTAGAGTTTTATTTTCGATAAAATACCAATATTTCACATGTACAAATCAATAACTATATACTAAAAGACGAGGTTATATAAACGGAGGGTTGAGAGAGATGTAGAAGTGTCTCGCAGGGGTAAATTGGTCATTTCATGCGTGATTTAAATTTTGCCTTTTTAGATTCATTAGAACAAAATACACTCTCAGTGGTACAAAATATAATTTTAGTGGTATTTAAAAAAAGGTTCAAATGTCTAATTAGACTGTCAAATAATACCATTACATCTCAGTGGTACAAAATACACTCCCAGTGGTACTCAATACGTTTTAGTGATACTTATAAAAATCCTCAGTGGTACAAAATATACTAGTTGTGGTCCCAATTTTTTTTGTCGTTTTTACACGTGAAACTATTTCTGAAAAGTTTTAGTGGGGCCCACACCACCTTTTTCACTCTTCCTATCTCTCTCCTCCTTTCCCTCTCTTCTTTTTTACTTTTATGTTATTTTAATGGTTGTGAGACATTTGCATTTGTCTTACAACCCTCCATTTGTACTTCCTCCTAAAAGACACACCAGCAATGACATGTGTCATCTCCTGCTGTGTCCTTAGGTTTTTTTTTTTTTTTTTTTTTTTTGGAAAAAAAAAATATTTAAGAAACAAATTATATACTACCTCCGTTACAGGTTATGTGCAACGATTAGACATTTTCCCTCTCTGCTTTATGTCAAATCGTTGCACATAACTTGTAACGGAGGTAGTATAAAGTATTAATTTCCTATAAAATGTAATAGAAGGATTTTGATGGATCTTTCTGAAAATTGTTATTGACTATTTTTAAAGTAAATACATATTATGTACTACATACGTTTATTATAACAAGAGTATATAATTTTTTATTTTTTTTTTTATTTATGTAATAGAAGCTACATACAAACTAAATTAATGAAATGCGAATATCAAATCATCAAATGAATTTTTTTTTTTTAAGTGTGTGTGTTTCGTTACATAATTTATGATTAGAATTTCAATCAATTAGTACTTTACGAATACTTCAATAATACTTGCCAAGAGCGACACATGTTGATGGATACTTCTTAGTGCGTGTAATTTTTCCTTCCATTTTTTTTTATTTTCAACATTCAATTGATATGAATATAACATATGAAAGTCAAAAATATAATAAAGGTTAATTTTAGAATTAATCATTGAAAATTACCGTGCATGGCACGGGACCTAACCTAGTTGAATTATAATTACATTCAAAAAAATTATTAGATAATTATTTTCATAAATTATCAAATAAATTTATTTTTTATATCATAACATTTTTTTGGAGCGAAGGAAGTAGTTCGAACACGTAAAACATACCTATATAATATATACTAATCGTTAAAATAATATATTTCACAATCTAATAGAATTTTATACTATGTAGACCTGTCAATTAGGGTCGGGTCACGAGTCATCTCGAATATCACTTCAGGTTACGAGTCAAGAAATGTTCAACCCTTACCCAAAATATTGGGTTCGGGTCAACCCAATAGATTTTGAACATTTATTTTATTTAATTTATTTTTTGCTATTTTTTTTTAACGTATTAAATCGAACATTTCCACCAACACTATTATCAGTCATTACATGAATACTAGATAGCTAATCGTCACAAAATCACATCAATTCCTACCTAAATTTGTATCAATGATACATCTAAAAATTTGATATATTGTCTTCAGAAAAAATTTGATATATAGATTGGGGCACAAAACTAGTCTTTATATAAATTGATTCAATGAATTCTCTTCTACCATTAGTTGCCAACATAAGTAGACTTTCCATTGTACTCACATATGCTACAAATTAGCTTTTCAAGATGAACTAATACTTCGCCATTTATCAATTGGAAAAACGTTTCAAGTTTCACTAAAAAATTCATATACACCGAATAGTCTCACTCATTTTCCTTTGACAGTTAGATCCCCCTAAAATCAGCTCTTTCATATCCTCAATTTTTCTAAAACTTTTACCTCTAACACTGTAACACAACCATTCCCACAACCTATGTACCTTGGACTCATATAATGTTAGATTCGGTTATTTTGCTTCTACGATTTTGGTCCAAAATGAAGTGTTGAAGTGTCCATGCCCGTGTTGGAGCGTCAAAGACCAAACACGGACACTTGAGGGGAAATGAAGAATGTAAGTAACACAACCCAAAACTCAACAACTTAAGCACCAAACCATGGCCACCATCCATCCTCTTTCTATAGCCTCCACCATTTCACCCAATGTGTAAAAAACCTTGAGGTGCAACCAAGGCTATTCGATGTTCCCTGTGCCTTGTTAAAGCAAGGCAAACCTAACGGTAAAAAGATTTGTGACAACACTGTTGCGCCCTGAGCCAATATGGCTTAGCTTAAACATAAAATTGTAAAAATCCTAACACTTTGTGCCTAACAGCGCCTGAGGCAAAGTTTTCCTTCATCAGCTCCACCACCATTGCTACTTCCATTCACACCAAGGGCACTAACACATCCCCATAAGCTAACAACCAGAACATAATTGCTTCCCTTCCCAGGCAAAACATTGCTACAACATCTAACCATGCCAACCATATACACCAAGACAAAGACGAGGGAGACTGAGATAGAGAGAAGAAAGGGCACATAACTCAGCTAAAAAGTTATGGAATCAAATCTTTGAGAAGTACAAAATAGTTCTCAAAAATTGAGTACAAACTTTTCCCACAAAAGTTGATCGAGTTCTTGGCTTTTGGTAATTAGATCATCTCTTTCCATACGAGCTGACCACCAATGGTGAAGGTCTAGGTCATGGAGGTAGCAGAGCAAAGCAAAATGAGACATCACCAGGAGAGCAAAATACAGTGGTGAGAAGTGAAGAAGTGTGCAGCTAAACGTGGTGCTTGAACAATGGGAGATGAGGAAGGTGATGCATGACAAAGAAGGAAGAGAGAGAATGACTGTGGAAGAGGGTTTAGTATTCCCCTGTATCAAAGACCCAAAACCAACTTTCATTCTTTCCCTTGCCTTAACCTAACAAAATGAGAATGAAGAGGTTTTTATCACTTCCTTTCTAGTTTCTATTATGTTCCTTGATTCCGATCCTTTTTCTTGTTTTGTACTTGATTTTACAATCTCAAGAAGAGAAATTCCATCCTTAATTTTATCCTTGATGTCAGCAAGTAGCGAAACTTAATTACAATCTCAGGAAATAAGAAAGTTGAAATGAAAAATTAGACTTGGATTTAGTAAGCTGATTAAATTGTACAAAAGTTGATATTTTGAAGTATATTGTCCAGTTGTCCGCGGTTTATCATTTCACTCTCTTACTGATTCTCTGACTTCAACATAGTTAAGTTCAGCAATGTCCTATCTAAACATGCAAAACGGAGTCAATTAATTAAGTAAATTTTCCTACCATTTGTTTTGGCCTCTAATGAATAAAGATAGAAATGACTTGTCACATGGGAAGGGACACATAGATATAAATGTTTAAATTTAGATATGAACTTTCAGTAAAATACTTCTGAAACTTACCCAAGTTGAACCTGTTCTTTCACTTTTAGAAGCCTTAGATAATTGCTGTTTCGCTTGGCTTGTCACAGCAGCAGAAGCCTCAATATTAGAATGGATATCATCTGCAATTAAAAAGGAGAAAAACTTACAAACTAAGGCAAATACAAATGCAAGAATATACAACCAAATTTGGACTATGCGAGTTTGCATATCTGTGTGAAATGCGGGATCTTACCAATTACTACACCCTGCTCGTGTACTAGAACAGCAAGGTCCATGAAGATTTCATTAACTTGACCAATTTGGCTTTGTACCTCCTTAATTCCCTGTTCCCTTTCCTCGATGATTGCTTCATTAAATACAACTTCATTATCCAAAAGTACCAATTCTTGCCTGCACATATGATTCTACGTTATTCCTAGTCACTGCAAGTATCATATACTCCTTCCGTTTTTAAAAGTTTGACTCACTTTCAGCTTTGAAGTATTTCCAAAAGTTTGACTCGCCAATAATACCTCTTTACCCCACTACTTTTATACCTTTCTGCTCACTCCTCCCCCTTAATCTTTTTTTTTTTTTCCTTACACTCACCCACTTTTTTAGTCAATCTCACACTTTTCCCAAACATTTGTAGACACTACAGTATAAGAGAGTCAAATATTTAGAAACATATGGAGTAAAAAGGATCTATTTACACATAAACGAATGAGAAAATGCACTGTTGCTGCAAGTTTAAAACATAAGGATGCATAGCATCATACACATCTTATTGATTGTCAAACTTTACCAAAGAAAACATCTTATTGAACTTCAAACTTTACAAAAGTACTAAATGACAGAAAGGACAATAAAAGGAACTGAAGGAAAATATTTTATTCAAGAGAAGTCTATAAGCAAAGTGTTCTAATATATAACAGTTTCATGTAGTAAATTTTGTTGGAGTAAACTCAACAAATTTATTGTAACAATCCATTCCTTGACAAATCACAGGCACATGCTTTGTTTTCCTTGCCTTGTTTTAATTACTTTATTATTGTTAAAATAATACACATCAGAAGAATTTAGACCCATCGGACCAAATTTTCTTATTTTCGTGACCTTATTGCCATATACTTTTAATATCTTATTCAAAAAAATTAATTCCCTGTTCTCTCTCCTCTATAATAGCTTCATTAAATAAAACTTCATTATCCCAAAGTACCAATTGTTGCCTGCACATATGATTCTACACTATTGCTACTTTCCTAGTCACTGCAAGTATCATATACTCATTGCATTTCTAAAAGTTTGACTCATTTTCAGCTTTAAATTTTTATTAATTTATATTATTCCATGGCTTATTTTGATTTGATGAGAAGAACTTACTTTTCTAAGTAGTTATTCAAATAAGTTAAGAAGAAAAGAGCCGTTTTATAACAAAAGTGAAAAAAATATTGCCTGCACCGATGACAGACAATACTGCCATTAACGGGCAATAGATCAAGTTAAAGTCTAACCTTTTTTGATCCAACAAGAAAGGTTGGTTTTCAAGATCCTGTTTTGCTTCTTCAACACTTGAGCTGTTAATAACCAAGGAAAACACAACTTTCAGCATGCGAAGATTATTTTGAAATTGTTGTTCAAAAAAGATATGACAAACTAAGAAATTGCTTATTGCATACTCTGTTACAACAGAAGTTGGAGCCCCAGATGGCACGTAGGATGATTCACGCTCAGAAGCAAGCTGCTGAACATTCTGAAATTCTTGTAAAGTAGCTTGAAAATCTCTAGCAAGCTTAGCATCTTCAATTTTTTTGCTTTGCTGGAAAAGATAGCACAATAATGATTCTCAAACTACTTCACATGCAAACTTTCTCAAAAACACATTACACAACATCTCCATACAAGTTTAGCCATAACAGTAGATAGAGGAAAATAAAACTTAGCTTCCTTTTATACATGAACAAATGCACATACATGAAGTATAGAAATAGCAGGGCATGTAGCAATGCAAAAGGTTCCAAGAAAGAGTTCTGTATTTTCCATATTATTAGAGGCAAGAAAGCTAACACGCGGCTGATAAATAAATGAAGGTCCCAAATGATTAAGGCACAATTCCGAGAATTCATCAACAGTAGTCAGCCTCATCATCATGTCAACAAACCCAGATCACAATGTTCACAAAAATACAAACCTTAAATACCTTACCACAATCTGTAATGAAAAGAAATGTCCTGTTAATATATCAATGTCTTTCAGTGTAAACATTTCATTCCAAGATCCAACAAACAAAAGTTGCAGAAAAACTTCCCATTTCGTCAAATTAATAAATCAACTACAAAGTCAAGAAATCAACGACTTGTCAAATTAGTTGGTTCCCCTCCATTGTCAAAAACAAAACCCACATTTCTACTTCTATATATTGCTACACCCACATTTCTACTTCTATATATTGAATCACATCTCATGTATAAAAAAACTTTAAATTGTACGAATTATCCCTTAACCTATTCGGCTTCTCCATTTATTTAATTAGCTAACAAAAATTACTACACATAGTAAATTTAAAAAAAAAAAAAAAAAAAAAAATCTTCATAGAATACATTTTAAGAACAAATTTAAAGAGGGGACAATGGAAATGCAAGATTCAAAACTGCAAATTACTTCAAAATTCAGGTAAAAAAAATCTAAGAATTGAAATTAATTTGCATACCAATGAATTACAATGAAAATTTGAGCATCATAAATCATAGAAATCTACTCAATTAGGATAACTACAATTCAACTAAAACACTAAAATCATAAATTATTTCAAACAAAATGACACACATAAAAAGAGAGATTACCGTGACATTAGCAGAGTGGTCGGAATCACTGAGAGCTTTAAGCTTAGCAGAAGTATCCTTAACCAACTGCAATATACGCTGTCTTGTAGTATGCCTAAAATCATCCATAATTCGAAGAACAAAAAAATGATCACAATTCATGAAAAACAACAATTCATTAGGGCTCAAAAATCGAAAATTGAGGAAGAAAACGAACAATTTCTGGCGATGATCAGGAGTATCTTTAGAAGTTCCGATGGCATCGACAAGGCGGCGAAAGGAGGATACGGCGGTGTTGATCTGAAAAATACCGGCGGCAACGGCTTGAGATGGTGATTGTGCGGAAGAACGCGACGAAGAAGTTGGCCGACCTCCGCCATTTCTGATATCTTGAAAGCTCATGGTTGTGAATTGTGATGAAGGTGTAATTGCCGGCCAAAAAAATGAAAGAAATAGAGAGATAGTTTGTGTCTGAAAGAGGGGAAAAGGGAGAGAAAAGGGGTGATAGTGGAGAGTATGATTTTGAAATGTGAGAGGAGGGGCCTATTTAGGAATTATTACTTGATTTTTTATTGTAATGACAGGTAGTTAACATCTGCAAATGAAAAGCATAAGAGATTAAGAGATTTATTGGAAGGATGATATACTATAATTGGATGATTTGATAAAATGTGGGATAATGAGGGGTTATTTGGTGAAGTTTATGGGGTATGTAGTTTTTTTTTTTTTTTTTTTTTTTTTTGACAATAGGAACTAACAAAGACCCCTAAGAAAATCAAAAGGACCAAAACAAAATCCTACGCTCACTAGCACGCCTGGCTAGCCAATGGGCTGGGCTAACTCAATGCCGAGACACCTTAGAGATCCTGCAAACGGAGAGGCCCTCAAGAAGACGGCGAATATCACACAATAACCATAAGCAAGAGACCTCTGCTGGACGATCATGTTGAAGAAACGAAACCATATTACCGCTATCTGTGTATGGGGTATGTAGTCATGGAGAGGTAAAGTGGGTGTTTTAAGTGGAAAGTGTAAGAGGTTTTATTTTGAAAGAAAGTGTAAGAGGTAATTTATTCAAGTTTAATTAAACATACTTCATTTGTTTCGTAATACTTGCAACACACTCTTTTTCACGGTGTTTAAGAAAAGTGGATCTCATGTGATTTTAAACACTTAAAATGGAAGAGAGAGATTGTTAAGAGTATAATTTAGTGGACCATGAGATTATAATAAGGGTGGTAGTACAACTGTTGACATAAAATACTTTCCAATTATAGTGTGTTGCAACTATTGTGACATTTCCATTTCAGAGAAGTGATGTAAATATTAAAAAAAAAAGGAAGTATTATTTTTAGACACAACGCACGACGATTATCTTTGTATTTGCTATTTAATTTGCTAGGTTTTGGTCATCTATTACATATTACTAAAGGCAAAACCAAAATGGAAACTTGACAAAAGTATATTAAAATTTTTCCCACCAATAATACTTGCTTTAAAAAAAATTTAAAAAAAAAAAATTCCTCCAACAATACTTGCCTAAAATAATTTATTCTTCTTTTAAATTATTACATTTAGATTACGTAAAATATAAACTAAGATTTCTAAAATATTAAATTCTTCATTTTAATTTTATATGTGGCCGGATTTATTAATGTACTTTATACTCCTTAAATTAATCTTTAATAATTGGTGTGTCGAGTACTTAAAAAAACATTATTTTTATAATTTACTGAATAAAATTATTGAACAACCGTGCATCTGTTGCACGAGCTTTAACCTAGTTTGTAACTAAAAAGTTACACATAGACAGCTTATGTGGGTCAAACACAGACATGTAGACCTACATTAGTACTTACAAATTAGTTGATATTATGGATCCTTCTATTCTAGATTTTGAAATTTCAATTTGAAAAATTAAATTTAGATCTTAAAATATTGTCCATTTATACTATGGTTTGTTGTGTAAATGTATCTATAGGTACTTTATTAAGGGTGAAAGTAATATGGATTAAAACCGAAAACCAAACCAAATCGAATTAAAAATTCAATTTTTTTTTTTTTGGAAATTTGATTTAGATTGTTTTGAGATTTTAAAAATTATGGATTGCGGATCGGTTTCAGTTTTGATTTTGGGCTTCCAAAAACTGGAAAATGGATTTCCAAAACAAATTATATTGAGCCCAATTCTCTAGCCCATTTTTCCCTTCAAATCTATTCTATTAACTAATACTAAAACAGAATATGCTTACATTATTTTTGACACATATCAAGCTATTATTAAAAAATTCCCGCCAAAACAATATATGATGTCGTCTTTAAGGTTTTTTTTTCTACTTAGCTTAGGGCCTGTTCTCATACGTTGAAATTCAGTTCAGTTCAGTTCAGTTTATGTCTAATGATATTGCTAATGAAATAAAGCCAAATTTCATTCTTTTAAGCTCTTATTACAACGACGATAATAATAATAATAATAATAATAATAATAATAATAATAATAATAATAATAATAATAATAATAATAATAATAATAATAATAATAATAATAATAATAATAATAATAATAATAATAATAATAATAATAATAATAATAATAATAATAATAATAATAATAATAATAATAATAATAATAATAATAATAATACAATTCATTGTTCAAATGGTTCTATTTGTTTGATACACATTTCTACTGTTAAACTCATTGAGAAAATTAGAGTACTACACAACTTAAACTGATTTTCATAATCGGTTAATTCTTCGTCTTCTTCTTGTCCACCAAGCTCCTCCATTACCTCGACATTCCTCTGAACTGACTCTCATATCTGATCAGTTATTTCTTGTCGTACAATATCCATAGCCGCTTTTCTGTTAGGATCGTACATAGTATGATCTTCTCTTCGCTCCATGACTTCAACTTGGTGCGTGAATGGAATCTCTAGTTCATGTAAACGAATAAAATCGTGTAGAGTACAACAAGCAACAATTATTTGCAACTGAAAACGTAATTTTATTTTTTTATTTTTAAAAAAAAAAAATTAAACAACAAAGTGTTTTGTGTTCTTTTGTCATAATACTATTTTATTTTTAAATTATATAGTATATGTGTTTAAAATGTTTTGGGGTTTCATGTTTATAATATATTTTCCATAAATATTATAATTATAAAGTATTTTTTCATAAATATTTTAATATGTACATATGTATATACACATATGTATAGTAATAAATTATCAATAAATAATCAAAGATCACTTATCCGTAGTTAAAAATCACTAATTACTAAGTTCAGTTCAACTGATTTCAGTCAATGAGAACAGGCCCTTATTTTATTAAAGTACGTTGTCTATTTATTTTTGGGGAAAACATGCAACATTAATGTAATATAATGTTGTATACTACTTTTAAATATTTTCAACATAACGAATCAACAATAATTTTTTCTCAATTTAATTTTTAATAATTTTGGCCTTATTATTTCATTTTTCTTATACATATTGCATTTGTATATTTCATATGAATTGCCTCATTTTTATATTATATGACAAATTAATTATGAAAAAAATTGTTACTACCGTGCGATGTACGGGCACTAATCTAGTATAAACCTAAATCCTAATCCGTTTTCCCTCTTTTCCTTTTTGACTTTTCTCACTCTTTCAAAATCCATACACTTCCCTAGTTCACTTGCGGCAACATACACACAACAAATCCATTTAAATATAAGATGTCATCATTAACCTTTGTACTATCGAATCAACATTAAGGAAGAATTCATACCTTCCCAACATTGTCAAAATTGGTCTTCAACACTTCATCCCTAGCACAAACCTTCTCTCCCTCATTTTTTGGCACCTTTAGCCTTTTGGATTCTTCTTTCTAACCTAGAGCCATCTTACTTTTCTTACTCTTGCTCTTAAAATACTATTTTAACAAAACCTCTAATGACCCTAACCAAGATGACTTGACATTCTCATTGTACTCCGATTATGTAAAATTCAAATCAGATTCATCATCACTAGACTCCTCCACCATTTGTTTGTGTTTAGCTTTTTTAGGATTCTCCTTCGACTTAACATCAAAACCTTTCGGCTTGCCAATATCTACTTTTTAACTTCCCACTCTAGAATTCGAAGAACCCTACCAAATAACACAATCCAATATAAGCTTACATGCTCAGATAGCTAACCAAAAATTTAAAGTTTAATTCAACTCAATACTAGCACTCACCCCCGACCATTTCCAAGAATAATACCTCACAATCGACTTATTCCTCATCATCTTCTTTGCTATTGTCAACTACTATATCAATTCACAACAAACACTACAACACAACACATAATCTTTTTAAATATTATTTCAATCAAATTTTCTATGAATTTGAAAATGACTAATACGTACACAACACATTGTTTTAAAAACTCAAACTCAACATTGAATTTTAATATCCCATTTGTGCCCAACTACATCATTCCAAATGTAGCACACTCACTTTTCCACTAAAGACAAAACAATTTCAAAAAATTTCAGATTTCTTTGCCGATTAAAAATTTCGCAGTAAACAATTATATGTACTGCACATAATATTTAAATTCACACCTTTCACCAGCTCGGGAAAACAAATATATGAATGACACATAATCATAAAATTCATTTCAAACAAGATATTCACCAAATTACAAATCCAACAGCTTTGTGCAGTATTCAACATCATACAAATTCATGTGCATTGTTCACATCGAATTACCCAATCCAACAAATATAACCCATTGATGATCCTTTTTATAAACCCTAACACTATTTGGGGAAAAATTACAATCTTACATCATCGAATTTAAAGGGAAAATGTAAGAATTATACTAATTTAAGAAAAGTTGTATCAATTTTTCTCATAACAATCACAAAACAACAACCCCCAACTTCAATTACACCCTAATTCATCCCCTTTATACGAACCCTAATTCAATTCGTGATTGATAGCAGTCAAGAAGATACCCAAAACCCAAAACCCCCAATTTCAACTAAAACCCATTTTGACAAACTTTATACAAACCCTAAATGAAATCACGAGTGATAACAATCAACAAAATCAAACCTCCAAATTCAATTTAACCCTAATCCATCCCTTTATACAAAGTCTAACTCAATTTTAACAGTTGGTACACAAAGAATAAAATACATGTTACTTCTTAGTTCATTGTTTCGTGCCTTTTTGTGCAACAAATTTTCACCAAAACACCACAGGGATTATTGACCCACCGACTTACGAATCTAAGAGCTTTAGAAGCTTTAATCAAGGCAATTAAAAACGGTGATAAAAAGTTTTGGAAATGATCTTTTCAGCACAGATAAAGAGAGGGGGAAATTTTAGACAACAAAATACACAAACAAAAGGTGCAATACACCCCGCCAACAAAATACCAAAATACATGCCAAACATGCTGACAAAAAATAAAACAGGAAGTAAGGTGGAATACCACTCAACTTATCAAAAACCTTGTGGTTTTACAGTCTTGCCCCTTATTATGAATTTTTCCGTGCATAACAAACCTCCCTTTAGACAAGCTCTATTTACAAGGCTACATGACAGGAGGGTTGTTCATAACCGGGGTTTTTGGGTACCCGAAGAGGCGGGAACCCGCCTTTGTAAGTAGTTCAATGCTCGGCCCATGACCTGACCTGTGAAAACCGAGTACCCTATTTTCACGGGTCGGGTCACGGGTACTCGAGTAAAACAATTTACAGTACTTTTTTTTTAAAAAAATTATACCATCTACTCTGCTATCTTATGAAATACAATACATAAAATGAAATATTCAAAAAAAAAAAAAAAGAAATAAACTGAAATACTGTATTACTATTCTTTTTTTTTTTTAAAGAGTAAGAGAACTTAATTAATTACTTAGACAAAAAGTCCAGACAAGGCATAGCCCAACCAATACA